GTGACTGAGACAACCGCGAACGGGTTATTTTTAATATCATATCTATCAAAATATTCCACATATCTAAAGTGTTTCAAAGGTTTTATATCTTCATTAGAAAAATCTGTTTTTTAAAGATTATGTCAAGTAATTAAATCTTCATTAATGCCGATGATGTGTATGCATGTGTGTATGTGGGGGGGGGGGGCGGTTCGAACGCGGTATATATTTCTTTGTTTTATTGTCCCTCGAAGATATGCATCCTAATACATATTTGTAGTGTATGTTTGGATTATTTATTTATAAAATCAACATGATATTCACTCCGCCTAATATGTAATATCACAACAATGGCACTGGAAATATAGTCTACAATGGTAATAATATATTGTACTTTGTATTAAAATTTGTCCTATTAAAAATAAACTTCATAAAAGGTTACACTTCAAGCAAACATTGGGAACGAAATAACAGGGCATTCGTGTGGCCTTGCACATTCTACTGCCATTAATAGCTGTGTAGAATTACGTTTAGATTGATATTCAATACCGAGTTTAATACATGCATAGCTCCAAATTAAATATTTCATGACTCGTGAATTTTTCATCCGGAGAGCCGAGATTATATTCGGAGAACCCAACAAATTTCCTGTAAGATCACGAACTTAGTTCATTTTTTTCATTAATTTTAAAGTAGCCTTGGTTTTATGTTTCCTCGCCCACAAACCAAAGCTCGGGTTATTGCAGAATTAATATAAAAAATGTTTGAAAATCGATAATTTAATACAGAATTTTTGCAATTTCTGCAAGCTAGCTTGAAGTAGGAATTGAAAAAAGATTGGAATGATCATTGAGCATTGTGGGGTGATATGAGCGTGTTAAGCCCACAGCACGTTATGCGTATGCATATGAATGATTGCAAAATGATACAACATAATTACAATTTGTACTTTTTCCAAATATTGACATTGTATGTTTACTCGAAATAGGCCATTTTCGTCATGTAACTAAATGTATGCATATACCTTTGTGGAGTGCATCGATACGAATTGTTGTATACATGTATCTCAATAGTCAGAATTCAAATTGCAAGTTGCTAGGTAGGACAAACATTACGGCTTGTTCTACCGAACAACACATAATATTTGCACTATGACTATTGAAATAAAATTATTACTTAAAGGGACTTGGTAACATTGTTCAGATGAGAGATAGTGGTGCTAAGGTAGTGACTTCAATGTTACAGTAGATGTACAATTAAAGATAATCTGAAAAATTTGAGTGAAAACGGACCATTATTCATGGTACAAATTGGTAAAAACTGATCTGATCGATTCCTTAATTCTCCCAACTATATTATTACATTTTCATTACATTTTAGGTGAATGTAAATCGTCACAAAGCAAATAAAATGGCTCTACATTCCATTCCAGACAGTTAAGTGTTGACAGATTTTGTATAGCCTTTTTTAATGTATTTTTTTCATGGAAAAACGGTTGGGAGAATTCAAAATTGGTTGGGAGAACTTACTGTTAATCTCTGTTAGAGGGTGTCGTTCATCGACGCCTTCAAAGAAAACCATAGATATCTTCGTGGTTTGAGAATTTTTTCAGGATTTTTTGCATGTCAGGGGGTTAGTATATTAGAAAGAATATAGTAAGTAATATTTTATACAAAAATTAAGCAATTTTTTCATCAACCTTCAACAATGTTACCGAGTCGCTTTAACAGGTGAATGAAATGATTCGTATCGAGGGACTTAAGTTTAAATTTGGTAACATTACGAGAGTGGCCAATTGCGTAGTACTGTTGATAGTCTAGTACGAAAAAAAAAAACCGCCTAATCAATCTCAAAATGGCGACTGGTCTGACATAAATAGGATTCGAAGCTGACCGGGCATTTTCTCAGACTGGAAAGCCAACGTACCCCGAAACAATTTCTTTCTTTCTATACCGATATTGTATTAAAATGTTTGGAGCATCAATCCAGAAAATTTGCCAATTCATATTTTCATGTTCAATGCTACTTTATAGTTTCTATAAAATGTGGTCTCAGTCAGATAATGCGTGATGGCGATGGGATTTAGGTGTGTCGTAGTAATTACAAACCCGTGATCGGCAATAAAATAGGTATGACGTTGTTTGTTGAGAGAATCAGTGTGAACGACTTCTACCTGCCTTCGACATGTTTATTGACAGTCAGTATGAACGCCTCCTCATTACATTCGATAACGTTGAGACAACTAGTGTGAATAGCTCCGTAGTGCATTCGGCACCGTCGAGAGAAAGAATTAAACGGCTCCTGGACGTGTCATGTTGGTCGATGAACTGGTTGGGAACCCATTGTCGAGTATGGAATAGGGTATGAAGGTGTGTATCGCGAGAACCAGTGTGAACAACTCCTGGACGTGTCATGTTGGTCGCTGCAGTGGTTACGACCCCGTGATCGGGCGAGAGACTCCCATGGGTGATCAGCGGACTGATTTGAAAAATAAGGATGTATAAGATATGAATGAACCTCATCAAAACACACTAAAGTACTGTCTGACTCTATCTTACAGTCCATCGCATATGATGACAAGGTTTTCATCGAATAGCTTTAACAATGCATGCTAAGAGTGAGTAGATTTAAAATTGACATACGAAGCTGCTTCCCATCGCAAAAAGAAAGGCTTTACCGTTTCATATTAATGATATCCATTAATCTCTGATGTGTTCGAAGTAATCATCTTTAGTGAATTGGTACATGATGTATTATTTTGAGCTCTTCATATTTCAGATATAGTTCCCGAATACATTTTGAGATGATTCAGATTTCATTAATTCGGTTTACCGTTCGATTCCTGCTCATGCATATCATTTCCATCCCGAACTTCTCCGTGTTTACTCACTGATTGTGTGTGTTTTGTTTTTTACCAATCTTCTTTGAGCTTACGTACTCATTTTGTTTTCACTTCATATTTGAAATAATAATAGCATTAATAACATGAGCACCCACCCGTCTCCCCACACACACAAAACCTTATCCTGGAATATTTTAAGAAGGTTGACGTTTTTCAACGTGAGCCTACATACATACACAGATACCAAATTGGAAACTGGTATTTTGTCAGGTTTTGTGGAATCTATAGAGCAAACTTGAGGCTTCGTTTAAATCATCAAACAATGCAGTATTGCTGGTGCAGGCTGTATACGTACACGCATTTCGTAATAGGAGATAAATCCCAGACGTGTTTCTGAACAAGTCGATGTGATCTCCCTACTTACCTTGTCACCTCTTGATTTCCCTAGATCTATATATTCACGGAACGAGTTTACCCGCCAAAAAGCCTGCGGGATTCCATGACGTAGCAGGTTAAGGAGTCGTCTGCACGGTGGGCTGCCGTGAAGAGTGCAGAGACAAAACATTTCTTGAGACTATGCGCTGTTTACACTACGCTTCTTCTCGCTTCCTCCTCCTCTCCTTCTTTACATTCTCTCATCATTTCAAGCCCTTTGTAGCAGGCGTGGTTATAGGGGCTTTTTTTTCCCTCGGGGGGGGGGGGGGGGGGCTTTGTCGGGCTGGGGATCCTCGAATTCTGTTCTACATATACCTTGCTTACATTCATTTGTGATCATTTTTTAGAGGGAGGGGTGAATTGGAAGATTTTTTTCGGTGGGTGCTGTGCCCCAAGATCTCCTTTAGAACAGCTACTGCCTAAAAGCACTATTCTTGTATTCATATTTGTATCTCTCTTTCCTCCTTTCATCTCGTTTGTCTCCGTCCTTGTCCCTCCTTGTACGAGCCAGCATTTTAAGTATAAATAATTCGCCTGTTTGTTTTTACTAGCGCTTGGAGGGGACAGTAATAGATAAATTAAAGATGTAAGAGTCTGTCGTGGCATACGAATCCCTACAGATAGAGGCAATAAATAAGTTAGATGGGTGCATGTGATAGAAAGGCCATGACGAGCTTAAGCTGGCACGATCGAATGAATAATTAATTAACGATCGCCCAAGCATACTTGAAACCGGCGTGAATAAATTCAAGACTTCGAGTCTGCATCCACTCGTGAAACAGAGAGTCGTTAAGCCAAAGGATATAGATTATATTCAATTTATGATATTCATTTCCAAAAAGGTAATAAAGACGAAAAAAGTACAATAAGACCTTGGAATACCGTATCCCTACGTTTTGGGCTACTTTTTCGTTCCAATTATGTTTAGTACTTTAATCGTTCACAATAATACATCATGTCACAGAGAAAAAAAGATCAACGAAGTCAATGAACAGCGGAGTCGATATGAACATTACCTGGAAAATTCCCGTTAATTTGTTTACTCGATGTGGATGTAAACTCCCACACAGCCACATTCAATTGGAGTAATCGTGTATAGATGGATGTTGTGTTTGTGAAAAAAGTCAACTGTGGCAATCCTTTGTTCTATCGGTAGAGCAAAGCAAGTAAAGGGTTATATAGAGTTAGATGTAGGTTTTGCGTGTAGGTCTCTGTGTTGGTTGTGGGCTTTTCTCTTCCACAGCATTGAAGTGCAAGTTGGCTTAGTCGGTAAAGCGTCTGCCTGTCAAACCAAAGATCAAGGGTTCGAATCCAACCCAGGCGGATGACTGAAGCCTGCGTTGTGTCTTATTGCCCCTCCCCTGTTTCATAGACGCAGGCTAGGTTACTCTGGAAACACTCCGTCCCTTGGATAGGACGCTAAATGGTGACCCCGTGTAGAGGACAGTCTCCCCCTTTGTACATTAAAAATCCACTGCACTATTCGTTTAAGCAAAAAAAAACGGAGTTACTAACTAGTAACTCCGTGGTATAAGAGTAGGGGGAACCCTGGCGTAGTGGTCCACCTACACACCTTCAATCAGTTATAACAGAATGAGAGTAGTTCTTGTCCCAGGCACAAATGACGCCAAATACTTCAGATATTGATTATAAAGTCAGCTGCTGTCACTTGTCAGCAACCATAAAGAATCAGCAACAGTCCGTAAATAAAATTAAAACCTTTTATCGTTTTATATCTTTTCAGAAATTTTCTATATGCGGGTCTTCAATTCTACAGCGAGTGTTACTGCGGATCAAATCTTGAAAGTGAGAAGATGAACAACGACTCGTTATGCAATCTGGAATGTTCTGGAAATAAAAGTCAGATCTGTGGTGGCGCTCCATACCTGTCGGTCTACCGGCTGAAGAATGATCCCGGCCGAGCCCCAAACGTTGTGTCGCAGCCACGGCCAGCAGGACAAGGTAAGAGAGGAATCATCCCAAACAGAATCATCTTAAATTTGGCTCGTTCGTGTCTACTTAGATCAAGATCAATGTAAAGTTCATTAATTAAATTAAGTTCTTCCATCACCCGATGGCTGCGATGGCCGTCTCATTGACAAGGGCCAGGTCTTCAAAATCTGTACAACCCGTTCCGCCGCACTGCAAGATGTGGTCCATCGTCTGAGTCTCTCTGCAGTCGCAGAGAGTATCTTCTTCATGGGCATAGCCCCATCTTGCTATGTTGGCCTTACATCGGGGCTACTTCGGGGTTTTACATAGCCCCATTCTCGCCCGCATTTGATTCAGGCATTTCCACTCCGGCCACTTCAGGTTTATTCCTTTGATGAGTATGGATGGGCTTGGCTGGTGGTGGAGGATTCTGCTCAGGTGGTGGAACAGAATCGAGGATATGCATGTTACTAAATTTGGCTAAATAATAATTACGATAAGAGCATTCATATAAACCACTCGAAAAGACTTTCAGAAAACCAACCTAAGACAGTTTTAGTAGTCTTGTGCGTCACCTATTGTATATGCGAACATGACGACGATATTATCAGTAATCCCAACATGATTGCTATATCAATGTAATGAAATGCTCTTTAATCTATTTCTTGAAACACTTTACAATATATTGCATGTTACTAATACAACAAAACTGTATACCTTTCAAAATGTTTTACAATCATCGAGAGAAACGTGAAAAGTGAAATCTATTGTCTTTGTCACTTGCGCTAATTTGGCAAACAGGAAACCTTCGTTCTGGACGGGTTGTATATTAACACATTAAATTAGAGGTTCGAGAAAGGCACCTTTTCTAAATGTGTGGCAGACAAGAGTTAATCATCCCACTGTCTACTGGAACTGGGTTGTCCCTGTATTAAGCCTACGGGGCTTAGATGATGTGTAGTCAACGGGTCAAAAGGAAGGAAGAAGAGAGCATATTTTAGGTGAAAGGTGTTTCACTGACTAGAGTCCATTACCATCTAACTGCGGTCGTTGGTCGGTGAATGTGTTGGCTCTTTGCATCATGATTGTATTCCAATGCAAACATAGATAATGGCAGAGAAACACGAGATTGGGTTCGCTCTGTCCCTAGGGGGAATATGATTCTGATTCAGTTCTCTCCCTCTCTCTCTCTCTCTCTCTCTCTCTCCCTCTCTTTCTCTCTTTCTCTCTCTCTCTCTTTCTCTCTTTCTCTCTCTTACTCTCTCTTACGCTCACGCTTAAAGACACAATACACATTTCTTAGCTGAATTTCTACGTTTGTTTTATTGCCTTCTATTATTTATCTAGCATAACCTTTCTATTCGTAATACCAATATTTTCCAGCATTTTCCTTTCTATTTCATCCTCAGTTTAACGAAAGTTGTCTAAGGGGGAAGTGCTCTTCCTTTCCAACCATCTAATATCTCTAGCTAATGGTTGAACATTCTTGAGCATGCCTTCACTTAAAGATTTCAATCCACTTTGTTTCTTCGCTATCTCTGACGTAATATTTATGATGAAATGGAAAAGGATTCCATCCATAAATCTATTTTCTGTGGAGCACGTGCACCCACTCGTTTTAAAACAGTCAATCCCTCCTTGTTCATGCTCATGGAAGAAGACAAAAAATCGTTCCTTCTGTTTCCGAATGCAATTAATTTCTTGTAGAGCAGTGGAAAAGTGCAAGTAACCCCATTCTAAAACCAAACTTGACTGCGTTGTAATTGGAGCAAGCTTAAGCCATGCTCTTTTGATCTGAAGAATAGATCACTTGGGGAAGGAATATTGGATATGTGTGGATGTGAGGTTGTGCAGTAGTCCTCGGTGACGCCACATTTCATGTTAATTCACCGGGGATGGTTCCATGACATTTATATCTCGTATTCCGCATGAGATGATAATATTCATATTGGATATTCTATAACGCATAATCTGCCACGCAAGGTGCTTAAGGCACTTCAATAGTTCGTCGGCTCTACCTCTCTTGAACGCTAGAATCATAGTCGTTTTCATTTATATGCAGTGCGACGATCAAACGCTAAATTGGAAATAAGATGCAGGAGGGACCCCTGTGGAAATCATATTTCTTAACTGTTCCCAGTCCTTGAATGAATGAATATCAAACATGGTTTCAAGTCATGCTTACACCGTAGCAGAGAGGAGAAAACAGCAAATACTTGCCGAGGTTTAATACACTTAGGGCCAAAGCATGCTGTCTCTATACAAATAACAAGCCACCACACGTGCTAAAGTAGTGGCTGTAACAAATCATAGACGATTAATTGAAAGTGTCAAGCTTTATGCGCATGCTCATGGCGAATATTATTTTGAGCTCTCCTTGATAACAATTTTAGGACAGGACTTGTCCTTCCATATGTTTACTAAATAATCAACAAGTAATTCGAAATGAGATCGTAACACAGCCGCCAGATTTTGTTTTTCTCTCTTCTGCTCCTAGCTCCCCTGCCTGTATATACCGTCTGCTGTCTGTCGTGGGGTTTCTTCTGATAATTCGCGCGTCGGTAAAGCATCACCATGGAAACCAAGGCTGATGTTTTGTTCTAATTCAATCACGAGGAAAGTAAGATGAGGAGGAGGCGGGAAGATGGTAAAGGATACCAAGAGAGACAGTATCACGCTCTCCTCGCCTTATATTTCCTGAAAATAATAAAAACAGCGTTGATCAAGTTACAAACCAATAATGAGTACATGCCCGTTCAGACATTACGCGGTAAGCAGTTACAAAACAACCACCGTGGTTATTTTACGTATAAATGAATGGCATCTCCGTTCAACATAGGTCCTACGCCTGTTCACTCAGGCTATGTATTATGAGATACATAAATGTAAAGCGTTTTACACTTAACGTCATCCGAAAAAACGCCGCGGTTTACCGCTTTACTATTATCTCAGTGAGGCTTAACACTCAGCCGGTGTAAGCCAGTTGCACACAGTTTCAAATTCCAAATGGTATTTATTGTCACTTTTATTCTTGACACATTGAAAGGTGATATAATTCAAAATTCATTTATCGAGTGTGTAAATGGGGTTCAATTTTCATTTATAACTCAATCAGACGATACAGAAGAAGAGTTATATCAAATATCAGTTTTAATGTTCTGACACAATTCGCAAAACAGAATCTCCACGCAATATTAAAAATCGATCTATACCGAAAACCATCAATCTCTACCCCTTTAAGTAATCATGTGCAAACAGCGTTAAATTTGTACGAGGACATGGTTAATCTTAAGCAAGAAGGCGGTTTGATCACGTGACTGAGAGGGTGTCGTATTTATTTTGGCGCCATAGGAACGTGCGCATAGATCGTTTAACTGAGGAGCCATCTGTGCGTGGGGAGAGTCCGGTGTCCACCACGTTCAAGATTTATAGGAAGATTTGTATTCTAGCTTGTTATTAATCATTCCTTTTCTTAAAACCTTGCATTTTTACGTTGAATTTACGTTTGTAAATCATTATATTCCTTAAATGTACATATATCTGTTCATCATCTCACGTAACAGAGGTTGTTTATTTTCTCAATATTTCTCTCTCTCCCTCTCTCTTAATATGTCACCACTTTGTATCTCCCTCAATCCAACATGTTGTTCGTCTGTAGTCTCTCTTTCTCTATCCCACACTCTCTGTCTACGTCTTTGTTGACTCCAAGGTCTCTCTCTTCCTATACGTATATTCATACATAACGTTTAAGAAATATTTATATTTATATATCTACATGTGACTCTCTCTCTCTCTCTCTCTCTCTCTCTTCTCTCTCTTTCTCTCTCTCTTTCTCTCTCTCTCTCCTCTCTCTCTCTCTCTCTCTCTCTCTCCTCCTCTCTCTCATCCTCTCTCTCTCTCTCTCCCTCTCCCTATTACACACTCTCCGTTTGCTCCTTTGTTGACTCCAAGGTCTGCCTCTACTTCCAACCATGGAAACCTTATTACATCTCTAATGAAAAAAAGTACTCTGAGGGTTCGTCATTCATTAAACAGGCACTGGATGTAATTGAGAATTAATTTGAATAAGAAACTAATTAAAAGAAGGACAACGTACTAACAACGATAACCTTAAGCCTAGCCATAGAAAATGTATGCAAGAAGCTGATCAGTAACGAGTATATGCAGCAATACTGGTAAGAATGTCAAATTGTAACTTTTCATTAACAACTACCGAACAGTACACGACATCTATAACGGCATATGATATGACCATTCAAGCATGAAACATGTTAATGGTCGAAACTTTGAATGGTGATATGAATAACGAAATCGGAATACCGGGCGTTTTAAAGGCAGGCTTTACTACTTAAGCCATGAGGGATTAGACCACCAAGCGAGCCAGCGAGGTCACTGTGACAGGTGGCTATCTCATTAACTCAGCTCTCATTTAACATAAGAAAAAGAGGATCATGGGGGACCAACAGGCACCGATTGGGGAAGTTTTCTATATAGAGAGAGCAAGTAGCTACAAGTAGGACAGTGTGCCTTTAAATGTTATGAACCTTCGAAATTGTGAACTTTCGGAAAAACGTGCCTTTCGGGGAAAAAACGAGTACTTCCGAATGAACACCTCGTTTTACGTGCCTGGTTGCACTTTGATACAATCTTGGGGCATGTCAGTCTGTCAATCTAGCGATCTATGAAGGCGCCATCTAATCAATTAACCAGAGGCAACGAAGCTAAATAAATTCTTCCAAGTGAGATTGAACTTTCTCATCACCCAACGTCCACCATTTTGTTTCTTTCATGACATAAAAGGAAAATACCAACACTTTATATTCAGGTGGTATGCCATAAATACGAATGAAAGTGGAGTAAGAGATACGGAATAGAAGATAGTTTGAAATTGTGTAGTGCAGGGCTCAAATTAATTTTCTGTCCACGGGGGCTTTCCCCCCCCCCCCCAAAAAAAGAGCCCCCGTGAGCCTTCTCACGGGGGCTCTTTTAGTGCTGACGGGGGCTCTTATTTTAATACAAATTTCCATTGA